AGGGATCAGCAACCTGTAGCTCTGGAGCTGCATGTGGCTCTTTCACCCCTCTGCTGCGGCTCCCTGTCACTCAAAATATGCGTCACAACCACCAATGTGTGACACCCACCGGCACGCAATTTATTGAGCTTTTCAACCCCCAGTAGGCCAACCATGGATAAATCCAAGAAAAGAAAAGTTTCAGAAGAAAACAGAACGTTTAATTCAACTACATATGCTAGTTTTGTGGCCTCTCAAGAAATAGTCAGGTACGGGAAGGGTTTTGTGGCTTCCGGTGTTTTCTTTTCTGTGAGAAACGGGTCCAAATGGCTCTTTGAGTGTTTAAGGTTGCAGACCCCTGATCCAGACCAACTATGCTTTGTCACTTTGAGCCACAGTACACTGACAACCACAAGACACAAATGGTGCCTCAAGGACAGCCTCTTTGTTCTTGTCTCTTGACCGTGTCTTGCCATTTCTGACAGGATTTTTGCTCTTTGTTTTGTAGGCCTTCCTTTAAAGTGACTTTTGAGCCTCCGCAGAGATTTTCTCAGTCTTCACAAGATCACAGATAATGCTTAGACATTAAAAAGAGGAAAAATCTAGAAACTGCTGCCTGCGGGAAATGACACCACCTTTTGAATTAAGTAATGTTAGAGGGACCCTTTTCTTCCACTCCAAGGCCCATCATCCCAGGCCCAGAAGCCTGGCACTCTGACAAATCAGCCATTGATAGACACAAAAAATGTCCCAAAGGACATTTCAGGATGCAACTGGACTTTCTTGTTTTTTCTCTGAAGATGTTTCACTTCTCATCCAAGAAGCTTCTTTAGCTCTGACAGAATAGTGGGGAATGGAAGGATTTGTATTAAATCACGGGTGTCAAACTTGCTGCGTCACATTGCCGTCACATGATGTTTCACAATGTTTTTTCCCATTCACAAAGCTGGGGTGAGGGTGGCCAGCGGGCCGACAGTTTGACACCCCTGTATTAAATCCTTCCATTCCCCACTATCCTGTTAGGATATGGTTTGAGCCTAACAAGTTGTCCAGGCAATATATGTGTTCTGTGACTTTAATATGAATATGTATTGTGTGACTTTAAAGTTTTACTGCTGATTCATTGTAATGCTGAGTCATGCTATAATTAGATAATCGCTAGTTGTGACCGTATTTAAAAAAGGTACTGTAAAGTATTCAGTTGATGATAAGCTACCATAGTGTGTGGAGTTGCTATCACTGTGCTATCATCGTTGGATGGATCTGCTACCATCGTGGTTTGTGAGTTATTGTAACCAACTAGTTATTCTAACCAACTACTGTTTGTGTGGTAAGAAGAGTTTCTGTATCACTGGACTGATTTAACTGGCAAAGACTTGGATTTATTTAAAGACTATGAGATTGTTTTTTCACTATAAACTTTTGATAAACCAGTTTGCACATCTCTTATTCATTGCTCTCAGCAACATTTCTCTGTGCTCTACACTCTGCTGGTTGGTAACACAACAATATCCTTAACACTGTCAGAGCTGAAGAAGCTTTTTGAATGAAAAGTGAAACGTCTTCAAAGAAAAAACAAGAAAGTCCAGTTGCCTCCTGAAAAAGCACCTTTGGGACAACCTGGATGACCTGGATTTTTTTACAGATTAACAGAGTTGGAAGGGACCTTATAGGCAGTGGTGGGATTCAAATAATTTAACAACCAGTTCTCTGCCATAATGATTTCTTCCAACATCCAGTTCACCAAACTGCTCAGAAAGTTAACAACCAGTTCGCCCGAAGTGGTGTGAACTGGCTGAATCTCACCACTGCTTATAAGTCATCTAGTCCAAACACCCCCCACCACTCAAACAGGAGACCCCATACCATTTCTGACAAATGGCAGTCCAATCTTTTCTTGACAGTCTCAAATGATGAAACTCCCACAACTTCCGAAGGCAAGCTGTTCCATTGGTTGATTGATTGACTTGAGAATCTCTACAGACTTGTAGACACGTAGACATTAATACAGGGGTGAAATCCAGCAGGTTCTGACAAGTTCTGGAGAACCAGTGTAGGAAATTTTGAGTAGTTCGGAGAACCAGTAGAGGAAATTTTGAGTAGTTCGGAGAACCAGTAGAGGAAATTTTGAGTAGTTCGGAGAACCAGTAGAGGAAATTTTGAGTAATTCGGAGAACTGACAAATACCACCTCTGGCTGGTCCCAGAGTGGCGTGGGAATGGAGATTTTGCAATATCCTTCCCCCAGGAGTAGGGAGGGAATGGAGATTTTGCAGCATCCTTCCCCTGCCATGCCCACCAAGCCACACCACGCCCACCAAGCCATGCCCACAGAACGATAGTAAAAAAAATTGAATTTCACCACTGCATTAATAACATCTATAGATTATGCAAAAGAGAATAACACCCAGCCTAAAAAAAGATCAAAAAGACCCAAGCACCACTCCACCAGCAATCAGCACCCAGATCAACGTAGATTAACTCCAAGGTTAACGTCAGATCAACAATCAAGTAAACGACACCCCAATCAAGAAAATATTAAAGAGCCGTGGAACTTGATCGCTTTTCCCCTTGCATAGAACTCTGGCATTGAGGGCAGAATCTGAGCGCCTTCCTCTTTCCCCCAAACTTAAGAGAGACACGTGCTATGCTAACCGGGGCTTTTTTCAGAAAAGTCCAGGAGTGAGTCCGACTTTTCTACGGTGTTTGATTCTGCTCTCTCCCCGCTGTGAGCTTAAGCGGAGCCTTTCTAGGAGCCAAGAAGCTGCAAGGGAGTCTTTAGCGGATAGATATCCCAGACGTTGCCCGGAGTTCAGTGAGGAAGGGCTTTTATTTCGCACTGGAGGCTTGCATGGATGCATGCAAAAACTTCATAAGGTCGTGGGAAGAGGGAAAACGCGGGAGCCATTTACCCTCCATTTCGTTGGGGGAAAACACCGCATGGGGTGGGAGGAGGAGAGGTCGTGTTTGCAAAACAGAGGATTGTGCTCAGAGGTGGGTTTCAGCAGGTTCTGACCAGTTCTGGAGAACCGGTAGCGGAAATTTTGACTAGTTCGGAGAACCAGTAGTAAAAATTCTGACTGGCCCCACCCCCATCTATTCTCTGCCTCCCAAGTCCCAGCTGATCAGGAGGAAATGGGGATTTTGCACTAACCTTCCCCCCCTGAGTTGGTTGGGAATGGAGATTTTAAGGGATCCTGTACCCTGCCACGCCCACCAAGCCATGCCACGCCCACCAAGCCACACCCACAGAACCGGTAGTAAAAAAATTTGAAACCCACTACTGATTGTGCTTCCAAGTCAGTCTCTTAGACCAGGGGTCTCCAACCTTGGCAACTTTAAGACTTGTGGACTTCAACTCCCAGAGTTCCTCAGCCAGCGAAGCTAGATGTCTAGATTTCTGTCCTAGACATCATGCTTTTACAAACCTTGGTCTGTCTTTAAAGCCTCTCTAGGATTTCCTCTGTTATTTTTCTTGTTTTTTCATGGGCAGCAGATAAAGCCCTGGCACCTTCCCAATACAGGATTAGGCTTTAAATGAGAATTTCCGTTTTAACAAACTGCACCATTGTTTGGTTTGGGGGCAGCAGTGTCTCAGATAGAAAATCCATAGGGATAGTGGTAAGGACAGCCGAGATTATAAGAAGCTCGCTTCCTGTCATTCAGGATATTGCTTATAAGCACTATGTGCTTAGAGCTCAAAGCATTGTTAGAGACCCCACACACCCACTCCACAGTTGCTCCCCTCTGGGAGGAGGTTTCAAAGTATTTCTAGCAGGACTACCAGATTCTGTAACAGCTTTGTTCCCTATGCCATCCATCTGGTAAACTCGCATGATTCATTTTTCTCGCCATGTACATGAATACATCCGAACCAGACTGTGTTGTTTCTCTGAGTCATATATGTGGTTATATGCATAATTTTGGATTTATTTGTTTATTTATTTATTTTGTCATGTTTATGTAATGTATATTGGAGGTAGTGACCCTTTGAGAGCTATATGATTTTGATTTGATTTGATTAAATTAGATTTATATCCCGCCCTACTCCCGAAGGACTCAGGGCAGTGAACAGCCAAAAAATAAAACACATAGATAACAAAATTTAAAAGATAGTATAAAACTACATTAAATAATTTGGCCCGGGACAAATTATATGCAGTGAAATTTCATGTTAACGTATGCTGATTAGTGTACATTCAAAGTGACAATAAAGTTATCATTCTCTTCTCTTCTTCATTTTGTAATGCCACTTGTTCTCCAGTCACAGATGAGACGCGTTCTCCCATTCTCCATCATAGCACCTTGTTTTGAGGTAAAATTTTCTAAAATCTCCATGAGTTCCAGCTTTTTCTCCGTTTTGGGACTTGTTTTTATTTCAATGCCTCTTTTTCATCAGGATCTTTCATCCAGGATTTTTCTCCTTATTACAGGCTGCCTCTTGGTGCTTCCAACCCGCCTTAGCTACCCAGAGGCATGAATTTGAGAAGGGCAGCTGTAAAACTTGGGGAAAATCAATATAAATCTTAATTTTCCTAATCTGTCCTTTCCCAGCCGGCCCCCAAATCCTCCCCTCACTTCAGGTCCGACTTTGCCATCGGTCACAAAGACAAAAGCTGGGTTTATAACAGTAACAGAGTTGGAAGGGACCTTGGAAGGTCATCTAGTCCAACCCCCTGGAGACCTGTACTAGGGATTCGAACCAACAAAAGCTGCCAACCTTTCTGATCGACAAGCTCAGTGTCTTAGCCACTGAGCCACCTAGTCAGGATTTCATAGAGAGGCTCCTGGTTTCTTGTCTTTTGACAGCCCTGCGGTTTCTGACAGGATTTTTTTTTTTTTTTAATCTCGTTTTCGACTCCCAGGCCCATCACCCCCAGGCCCACAGGGAACCAGGATCACTTCTCTCCCCTTGCGGAAAAATTTCTGGCATTGCGCGCAGAATCCAGCAGGGGGCTCTGTCCGTAGCTGTTGGAAAAACCGAGCAGCCTCCCCTACATCCCGCTTCAGGAGGGAACTGAGCATGCGCCTGGCCCTCTAAGCTCAAGAGATACGCGTGCTGCTTAGCCTAGGCTTTTTTTTTTTTTTCAGAAAAGGCTGGAAGAGCGTCAGCCTTTCCTGTAGTTTCCGATTCTGCTCCCCTCCCGCACCTCGCTGCGAGCCTTACGCGGAGCCTTTTTTTCCCCCCGGAGCCTCTTAAGGAAGATTTTAGCAGACGGCGATCCACTCGTGATCCACTCGGTCCAGTGAGCGTGGTGGGTCTTTTATCTCGCGGCGGAGGATTTCAGGGAGACACGTAAAGCTTTATAATGTTCGAGGTCGGGGGAAAGTGGGAAGCCCCGAATCCCCTGCCGCCCTTGGATATGCACGGGCCAGATAGGGTAGAAAGCAAAAATTGTGACCCCCCCCCGGGAGGAAAAACAAAACAAACCAGGATCTCCAGAAACGTGGGAGCCATTTAGCCTCCGTTTCGTTGCGGGAGGAAAAACCCTGCGTGGATGGGGAGAGGAGGAGAGGTCGACTTTGGAGATTCGTGGCTTCAAATCAGCCTTTGAGAAATTTCCTGCAAATTTCTTGGCCCCGTTTTCAGAAGGGTTTCCCTCCCCTCCTCCTTCCCAGACCAGAGGAAGCGAGCGGTCCGAGTCCCTCCTGCTGGCTTTGCACGCAAGGCAAGGACTGGAACTCGGGTTTCCTGCTTTCCCACCTTTCCCCAATGTGACCAACTGGCTCTGCCGGCAGGTAAAAAAGGAAGATGTTGAGAGGACAGGAGGTGCGCTTGTGGTTGAGGTGCATCTTCACACACTGTGTATTCATATTAAGCCAGTGTTTGTTTTTAAGTTTGGGGAGTGTAAGTTCCTGGAGTTTTTAAGTCCACAAGTTTTCAAGTGGACAATTTTGAAAAAGACGGGATTAGGCTAAAAGTGGGGGGGGGGGACTTTCTAGGATGTGCCTGAATCGAAACATCATCTTAAAGCGTAGATGGTTTTATTCATTGGGATATTAAGTTCTATATGCATTGAATGGTGGTTTGTTCATTCTGGCTTCTGGAGTTCACCCAGGGTTTAGGGCCAGGAGGTTAACGGGGTTCTGTTAGTTTAAAGCTTTATGTTCTAGAGAAGTTCAGATGTTCATTTATTTTCCTTATTAAATCGATTTAGATAGCCGCTCTCATCCCAATTGCTATCTCGGTTGTGATTTCAGACATTTTGATTTGGATTGTGCTGAGATAGTTGTTAAGTTTTATAAGCGGCCATTGAAATTAGGTGAATAAATAATTAGGAAATAGAAATCCAAAACATATTTTAACATATTTATTTATTTATTATTGCGATTTATATGCCGCCTTTCTCCCTGGGGACTCAAGGCGGCTTACAAAATGACAAATTCCAATACAAATCACAATGAAATAAAATTAAAATCAGCAACCCTATTAAAAACAGTTTAAAATTATGACAGTGTACCCCCAAACGGATCAGATATTCATGTAATAGTCCTTGATAGTAGCTGATACAAAAGGGCTCACTGGAATTTTCTTCAAATATAGATGTCAGTCTTACTAATAAGATTCCTGCCTTCTACTGAGACATTGAGGGTTCATAAGAATTTCTTATTTTGAGGTGGGCTTTTTTCAGAGGAGGAGGAGGATGCTCAGTAGTTATGTTACTCACCCTATTGAATCTCTCATCTCTTTTCCATTTCAGATTTGTTAGTTGGAAATCTTTCCTGGTTCCTCTGACGGCTTAGCTATCTTGTGAAGGAATAGAGCTGAAGGCCTTGGATGTTTTGTCGAGATTTCTTGTGAATACAAAGTCCTGTGGAGATCCATCAGTCCATTTTGAAGTTGGATTAGAGACCAGAGAGAAGATGGAAGGAAAACACCCAGCAGATGCAGCAGTCGGAAAAAGTCCTACAGCTGCTCAGCCTTGGAGCTTTGGGAAGAATGGGGCAAATCCTGGGCAAAAGACCCAAAACAATGAAGCCAACAGTTCAGAGGTCAAATCCTGTCACTTCAGAAAAGTGCAGTTCCAGGAGGGGCGGAGTCCCCGAGATGTTTGCACTCAGCTTCACCGCCTTTGCTGTCAGTGGCTGCAGCCGGAAAGACACACAAAAGCTGAGATGCTGGACCTGGTGCTCCTGGAGCAATTCCTGGCTGTCCTTCCCCCAACGGTGGAGAAATGGGTGCGGGAATGTGGAGCAGAAACCAGTTCCCAGGCGGTGGACTTGGCCGAAGGCTTCCTGCTGACCCAGGAGTTGGAAAACATACAAGAAGAGTTGCAGGTGTGAGAATGTAATCGTGGCACATCTAAAGAGGATCTCTCTGAATTTGTCAATTCCTCTCTGGCAGAGTTTTCTGGAATTATGACCTCCTAAAGGCTGTTGTTCCATTCTTTTTCCAGAGGATGTATTTGTGGCAATTGTTCTGTTCTTGCTTTCCAGCTTCAGCGTTGGACATTGTGGTCTTCTGCTAGATTGAGAATGCAGTATGATAATTCATTTCTTTCCCTCTTTCCTTGCTTCTCCTGGCACATCACCTCCAGAAGTCCTTGGAAGATGTATATGATTATCCCAAGGAAGGGAAAGATTCATCCAAATTCTCTCAGGAGCTGCAGTTCAGGGAGAGCTTCCAGAAAGATCAAAGTCAGGAGACAAGGCCAGGTAACAGACGCACCTTACATGTGACGTGGAGTTTGGACATCCGGCCTCTTGATTGTAATCTCTCTTTTTAACAAACATGCTTTTACTATTTTCTGTCTCACAGAGAATAGAAAGCTGTCCTTGGTTTTTTTAGAATCGCCTCCTCTTTCTGGTGGAGCTGTAAGAGTGCTTGAATTTCTGCCTCAGGTAGGAGGAGAAACCTTGATAAATATTCATGAATCTTGGATGGGTTTCATTTTGTTCTGGTGTCCAGTGTATAATATTGCTGTTTCTAAGCAACTCAAATTTTAGATCAGGTCATTGAAAATTCACACTCTGCTTAACCTGTCCCTTCTGATAAGAACCTGTCCATTCTCCACCCTCCTGCTTCAGGCCCAAATTTTCTTGACCAGATGTTATCTTGGCTGGAGATACTCTTTCTGTCTCCAGGGTCATTATCACATACCATTACCAGCTCCCCCAACACCTTCATGGAGGTGTGGATGGAGAGGAAGGTTTGGTTCCCTCCATTGATAAATAAACCATTGGAAAAAATGTCAGATGGTTTTTCTCTGTGTTTCCTTCTGCGCACTCTAGGAAGAATTGGAGCCATTGATATGTAGTGGTTGTAAGCCCAGTTGGCCAGGAAAACTATTTTAATTGGCTTCACTGAAAGGCATTCCAAGTCCTTCCAACTTGATCAAATGTGCTTCAGTTGTGCTGTCAGCCAAAAGTTCTGAGATTTCTGAGGTACTTGCAGGACCACCTCCTACCGGCCTCCCACCGTCCAGTGCGCTCACATAGGGCTGCCTTCCTCTGAGTGCCGTCAGCCAGACAATGTCGGCTAGCGGCCCCCAGGATGAGGGCGTTCTCTGTGGCCGCACCGACCCTTTGGAATGGGTTACACACCGGGCTCCGGACGGCTCCCGACCTCCGCACTTTCCACACCGACCTGAAGACATGGCTTTTTCAGCAAATTCCCTGATCTGTTGCGAGGTTTTAATTGTCGGGGGATTTTAAATTGGCTTGTTTTAGCATTTTTATTGTTATGTTGCTTTTATTCTGTGAGCCACCCCGAGTCCTACGGGAGAAGGGCAGCATATAAATATGATAATAAATCAAAATCAATCAATCAATCAAATCATTCAGAATTCTGCAGAAGATGCCCATTTTGTTCATTGGATCTCTTTTTTAGAATTATTGGAAGAAAACTGTCAAATTATTATTGGGATTATCTGTTAATAGGGAAACTTGTTTCCTTGTTCAGGATGTTGTGTCTTTTGAGGAAGTGGCCGTGTATTTCTCTGAGGAGGAGTGGTCTCAGCTGGATCCTGCCCAAAAAGCTCTCCATGGGGAAGTCATGCTGGAGAATTCCAGGAATCTGGCTTCTCTGGGTAAGAACCCATAACTGTGCTTAGAAATTTATAGAAGGCATGGGGTGGGGGGCTTAAATATTATTTCTGGGGACAAATCACTTATTTCTATGCTGCCTTTATTATTTTTTGTAAATAAAAGACAGCAGACATACTTAATACTCCTTCCTCTGCTGTTTTTCCTACCACAACAACAATCCTGTGACATGGGTTGGGCTAACAAAGATAGGCCAAAAGTCACCCAGCCAGAATTCACGCTTAAGGCAAAACTGGTACTCACAGTCATTCAGTTTCTAGCCTCAGTGCCTTAACCGTTGGACCAAATGGCTCTCTATGGAAGAAGGAAATTTATTGAAAGAAAAACTGCAAAACTGCACAGGCTCCCTTTTTACATAAAGGAAGTGGCTTTCTTTCAAAATGCTTTCTGCTCATAAAATGAAAAATACAGTATTTTTTGGAGTATAAAACCCTCTGGAATATAAGAGGCCGCTACCTTTTTTTGGAGAGGAAAACAAGGAAAAAAAAATCTGCCTCTGCCTCTCAGCAATTTGCCTGCTTGCAGCAAAGAGCAAACAGCCTGCTTTAGTTTCATTTTCATTTTCAGCACATCCTTAGCACAAGAAAAAAAAAGCTGCCTCCCAACAATTTTCCTCCTTGCAGCAAACACCAGAGGCCTGCGTGGCAATAGGCAATGGCAATCCCTTCAGCCCGAAACAGCTGAGAATCAGGAGGCTGATCCAATGGACAATCAACTGCTTATGATAATCAGGTTGTGCTGAAGCTGAAATGGGCCATTTGCTGCTTGCTGCAAGGAGGTAAATTGCTGGGAGGCAGAGGCTAAAGGGTGGGGGCCAGCAGGTGGGCGGAGCTACATTTGTTGTATAAGACACACCCAAATTTTCACCCTCTTTTGGGGGGGGAAGTACGTCTTATACTCATTTCCCTGCCATAGAAGATATTAGCTCGAATCTGAGGGAGAGGCTGTACGTAGGGATGGTGTGGCCTTTGAGCAAGATCCTGCCTTCCAGGGCTTAATATTGAGCCTGGTAACTCAGCTTGAGCTGCTATTCGAAGGCAGATGTTATTGAGTGTCAGCTGGTAAATAGTATGATTGTCCACAGCCATGAACCGAAGATGGATGAAGTACCAGACTAGCATTCATAACCAAGACCCAGATGTGCCCTGAGAGGGACACTCCTTTCTCAGAAATGGGCCCATTTGTGAACTGTCTTTGGTATCATTCCAGGTTGAGGGTGGGGAGCTATTGCCTTCCAGGAAGGTTGACTTTCAGAGTTTCTGGTCTGCAGACAAGTGAAGGTGAGACTTTTTATTGAAGTTGGGGAGGTGGTGGGTAATGTTGCTGCTCAACATGATATAGTGTCCAAAACTTTGGGAGTTCATGGCACCATGGAATTGTCCTACTGGTAGGTCATCAACAGGTTGACACAGAGTGGTGCTCAAAGATTAGATCACGGATTTGTCTTCCATTTGTAGTGATGTCATCCAATCCTGATAAATCAGAATTTGTAGGAGCCCACTTAGAAATGGGTATTTGGTAAAGTATTCGTTTGGTATGATCGTATCTGCCAATAAGCAGCCAAAATATATTGATGATTCTTTGGCTAAATTTAAGAAGAAAAGATTTGATCTTTCATCATTACCCTATTTTAGCTACAGTTTTCGTTTTTCTTTTTCCAGGCTATAATCGGCAAGAGAATAAGAATTACAAGGCGGAAGGCCAAGCAATGCATCCGAAAGAGGAAAAAGGGAAGTTTGCGGATCAGAGCAGTGAGACAAGCCAATCACAAAATGGAATTATAAAAGGCTTTCCTCGGATCAGTTGGCTTCCTAACCATACAGGCATTAATACAGGAGAAAAACCATACAAATGCTCGGAGTGTGGAAAGAGCTTTAATAAATCTGCTCATCTCATTTCCCATAAAAAGACACATTCGGAAGATAAACAATTTACTTGCAAGGAGTGTGGAAAGACCCTCTGTAATAATCACTCTCTTAGAAGTCACGAAAGGAATCACACAGGAGAACGACCTTATAAATGCATGGAGTGTGGAAAGAGCTTTAGTTGTAGCAGTAACCTTACTTCCCATAAGAGAATCCACACAGGGGAGAAACCATATAAATGCATGGAGTGTGGAAAGACCTTTATTCATAGCAGTTACCTGAACTCCCACAAGAGGATCCACACAGGAGAGAAGCCCTATCAATGTGTGGACTGTGGAGAGGGCTTTCGGTGGAATTGTGATCTTACTTCCCATAAAAGGATCCACACGGGGGAGAAACCATATGAGTGCAAGGAGTGTGGAAGAAGCTTTAGTTTTAGCAGTAGTCTTAATTCCCACAAGAGGATCCATACAACAGAGAAGCGATACCAATGTGTGGACTGTGGAGAGGGCTTTCGTTGGATCTGTGATCTCACTTCCCATAAAAGGATCCACACGGGGGAGAAACCATATGAATGCATGGAGTGTGGGAAGAGCTTTGCAAGGAGTAACGCTCTTACTTGCCACAGAAGGATCCACACACAGGGGAAGCCATATCAGCCGAGGAAGTATGGGAAAAGCTTCAATAGCAATAAGGGTAATCCTCGGTTTATGACTGCGATTGAAATTTCTGTTGCTAAGCAAGACAGTTGTTAAGTAAATTTTGATCCATTTTACGACACTACTTGCCACATTTGTTAAGTGAATCACTTCAGTTGTCAAGTTAGTAACGCTGTTGTTAAGTGAATCTGGCTTTCCCCTTGGCTTTGTTCGTCAAAAGGTGATCACATGACCCAGGGACACTGCAACCCTCATAAATATGAGTCAGTTGTCAAGCACCTGAAGTTTGATCAGGTGACATAGTATGATCAGGAATGCTGTAACGGTCGTAAGTGTGAAAAACAGTCATAAGTCACTTTTTGCAGTGGTGGTATAGCTTTAAACACTCACTAAACAAAACTGTTGTAAGTGAAAGACTACCTGTAGTTATCTAAAATCTCATACAAGGACCACTTGAGTAATAATCAAAATAAACTCTAGACCTTCTTAGATATTCATACATAAATTGCCTTTCTAGTTCAACCCAGAACAAGGTGTATCCTAAATCTTACTTGTGGTTTTTGCTAAGTAGAAGGTTAGAACTAAAAAGTGAGTATCAGTGGAGATAAAGGGTGTTAATTGCCATTTCAGGGATCTGTCCATCCTGTTATTGAACAGGAAGAAGACTCAGAGGAAGAGCTCTGAAAAGGAGCTACAATGATGAAAAGTCCTATAAATGCACATGCCAAAGTTTTTCTCCAGTGAAGGTGCCAAGTTCTGTTTTCCTGTCCCAGACAAAAGCTGAAATGGATTTTTTTGGAACATATACCTGTAGCCTTCGATTAAATTAATTAAGTACAGTTGGTATGATTTCTTTCTAGTTATATACCGTGTTTCCCTCAAAATAAGACATCCCCTGATAATAAGCCCAATTGGGCTTTTGAGCGCATGCACGAAAATAAGCCCTCCCTGAAAATAAGCCCTCCCCGAAAATATTTAAACGCATGCACAGCCGGTCCCCGCCATTTCCTCTGATTAGGGTTACGGAGACAGAGCTGGAAATCAGGTGAGACGGCAAGAGGAGCCCCGTCTTGCTCCACGTGCCCCAAAATAATATCTCCCCAAAAATAAGGCCAAGCGCTTATTTCGGGGTTCAAAAAAATATAAGACAGGGTCTTACTTTTGGGGAAACACGGTAGTTAATGAACTTTTGGGCTGATTATCAATTTCAAGCATTGGGTTATGTTTGGAGGAGCCTACATGGGGGGTTTGGAATCTCATGGCAACCTGAAATCATTTACACAAAAGACAACAATATTCTGTCAGTCCCCTAAGGTTATCCAGACTCCAAGGTTATCCAGATAGGAAACATAGCTGAATAGGCTAATTTATTAATAGAATGCTGCAAGTCTGAAAGTACACATCCGTGATCACTTTTAAGGTGGCCTTGAACTGCAAGATGTGTGCATATAAATTAAATAAATACTGGTAATAAATAACAGCCCGATAGATCAAGTTCGATTGTTTATTCAGTTTCTTTCTTTGCCTGTTATGCAGCTGCAGACTTTTCTACCTTTTAATGGCATAATTCCTTTGGCACTATTTATTTTATCAACATACTTACAAATCATGGAAAAGATTTGGTCAAAGGCCTATTATTATTTGAGAAACTCATCACATATACATATATCAATGTATCCTGTGTGGAAAAATCTTTGAAAAAAAAACCTTTTTCAAGCATTTTTTTTTTTTTTGCCTTTCTATGGGATGACAAGGTTTAGGGAAAACACTAAATCTGATTGAAATAAACTTAATTAAAAACCACTGGAATGGTTATTCATGAAATGTGATTAAATTCTGTAAAAGTTAAAAATAGATGAAAACGCCTGGAAGGATTTATGGGGGGGCAATACTTCAGGCTTTCAAAGATTCAGGTTACTTTGAAGCTATTTACTCAAATATTGTTCACTGATCATTCTGGATCAAACAGCATAATTTTTTTCATAATACCAGATTGACAACAGTTTGGCAGGTTGTCCTTAGAAGGAAGCCTTGATATGTAAAGAAATTGGCTGAAAAGAATGCAGCCAGAATGAGAAGTTGCCATTCTTTTAAAATTGCTTCTTAACCACTACTTTCCCTCCACCTTTTGTAGGAAGCCCACACCCCCCAGAGAATGAAATATTTTGGGGAATATTAAAATAGGCAAAATATTATATTTCCCCTAAAGGAGAAGAGGAGAAACATGTTCTTAAATGCAGAAAGCAGCCCCAGTATTCCTGCCATAGGAAAATAGCCTCAAGCAGAAGCTTGAACCCTGCTAACAAAAGTGCGTTTTTGCCATGATTTTCCCAGTTGCAATGTATGGCTGAGAAAGTTGGACCATATCAAAGGCTGAGCACCAAAGAATTGAGGCCTTTGAACTATGGTGCTGGAGAAGACTCCTGCGAGTCCCTTGGACTGCAAGGTGATCAAACCGGTCAGTCCTAGAGGAGATCAACCCTGACTGCTCTTTAGAAGGCCAGATCCTGAAGATGAAACTGAAATATTTTGGCCATTTAATGAGAAGGAAGGAGTCACTGGAGAAGAACCTAATGTTGGGAAAGATTGAGGGCAAAAGAAGAAGTGGACGGAAGAGAATGAGGTGACTGGATGGAGTTATTGAAGCAGTAGGCGTGAGCTTAAATGGACTCCAGAGGATGGTAGAGGACAGCAAGGCCTGGAGGAACATTGTCCATGGGGTCGTGATGGGTCGGACACGAATTCGCAATTAACAACAACAACAAAGAAGCTTGAAGAGGCTGGTCTTTTGGCATGAAGATTTTGTATCCATTCAGAAAGACTGGGCCAATCTATTCATAAGCAAAGAGACTCCAAATAAGCAACACAATAAGGCAAACCAGAGCTGACAAGATTAGCTTAGACAAACACCTAAGATTTGCATTTCTCCTTTTGTCTGTAGAGCCAGACAGGACCCCTACATGACTCCATAGGAATCTGGCAACAGCCATTAAAATATTAAAGGACACATCTATGGAGATTCTCAGTCATCCAGGTCATAGTTGTCCCAAAGGTGCTTTTTCAAGAGGTAACCGGACTTTGTTTTTTTCTTTGAAAACATTTAGCTTCTCATCAATAGTGACATTCAAATTTTTTCCCTTCTGGTTCCATGGGCGTGGCTTGGTGGGGGGGGGTCACTCATAGCCACGCCTACTCGGTCACATGACCCAACCACCACCAAGCCATGCCCACAGAACCCGGTAGGAAAAAATGTGTGTATGAGCACCAGAAAGGCTCATAATGAATGCTGTGGTGGAGAGAATCCGAACTTTTCTCCCTCCATTTAACGTTGAATGGGTTGAGCGACCTGAAGGGGTGAGTGAGTGGCTGGAAGGGGTGAGCTGCGAGCGGGCAGGCATGGGCGGGGCCAGCCAGGGGTGGTTTTTACCACTTTGGCGAACCGATTCAAATTGTTCCTACAGGTTCGCCCAAACTGGTTGAATTTCACCCCTGCTTTTCATCCAAGAAGCTTCTTCAGCTCTGATTGGATGGTGGGGATTGGAACTTTCAACAGTTCCAAGAAGGCTCCACACCCACTTGCACCACTCAGGTGACCCTGATGATACAGATAAATCTTCAGATAGCCTTAATGACTAGCAGCTAGCTAAAAGAATACAAATGACCAGCTGTCTGCAAGGAGTATAAATCCTTCCATTCCCCACCATCCAGTCAGAGCTGAAAAAGCTTCTTGGATGAGAAGCGAAATGTCTTCAGAGAAAAAGTCCAGTTGCCTCTTGAAAAAGCACATTTGGGATAGTAAAGGACACATTTTTACACAGGAACAGGCATCTCAATCACAAAGCCCCAAAGAATGTATAACCCTAACCCACCTATCTCAACCCCATTTTTTCATCCACCCCAGAAACATTCGGCTGTCACTGAAATTTCTGGCATCCAAATAAACAGTGACCTTTCCTTCAGCCAGCCTCCATTTTATTTCCGGCGTCTTTCTCCCGACTTGGAACCAGACCGGATTTTTCTTCCAACACTTTCGTTCACTCATTGTAGCTAAATTTCCTTTTTTCTTGCAATCCCACCTCCAAATCCAGAGTAATCTTTTCAAACCGGTGAAATCTTCATTACTGTTGGCTAGAAAAAGAAGTACATTATTTAGCACCAAAGGTCTTCAAGTTCCTACTCATATTTTCTGAGGCATATTTCCTACTCAACACACAAATAAAACTATTCACGTCTTTTTATTGTCTTGTGGTATTGGAGCTTTATATTTAATTTTCCAGTATTTTCCTTCATTTTCATACTTTTTAATTCCATATACAATCGCATATCAGACTTTATACTTTATACAGTCTTCATTTCTCCATCATGGCACCTTATTTTGAGGTAAAAAATTTAAAAGGTCCACACAAGTTTGAACTTTCCATTTTGGAACTTTTCTTTTGATGCCTCTTTTTCATCAGAATCTTCTCTTCAGTACTACTGGTAGTCCTTTACTTATGATGACAATTGAGCCAAAAATTTTATGTTGCTAAGTGAGAAATTTGTTAAGTGAGTTTTGCCTCATTTTACGCTCTTTCTTGCCACAATTGTTAAGTGAATCGCTGCAGTTGTTAAAATAGTAACACAATTGTTAAGTGACTCTGACTTCCCCATTGACTTTCCTTGTTAGAAGGTTGCGAAAGGGGCTCACGTAACTCTGGGACGCTGCAACCCTCATAAATATTAGTAGTTGCCAGGCATTTAAATTTTGATCACATGATCATGGTGATGCTGTAATGGTCATAAGTGTGAAAAATGGTCATAAGTCACTTTTTTCAGTGCCATTGTAAGTTTGAATGGTCACTAAATGAACTGTTGTAAATTGAGGACTACCTGTATTTTCATTATTACAGGCTGCTTCTTGGTGTTTCCAATCCTCCTTGGCTACCTAGAGGCATGAATTTGAAAAGGCACATTTAATAATTGAAAAAGAAAAATCAATACAAATCTCAATTTTCCTCAACCTGTCGCTTTCCTCCCTGTGTCTCTGCCAGCCCCCTGATCTCCCCACACTTCAAGGCTGAGTTTGCCATCAGCCACAAGACACAGGCTGGGTTTCATAGAGAGACTCTTCTTCCTCGTCTTTTGACCGCCCTGCCATTTCTGACAGGATTTTCCTCATTTTTGAGGCCTCCTCCTGGGAATCCCTGGAGACCCTTCAGAGAAGCTGCTCTTCAGGAAAGGGATTTTTGAGTCTCCACAAGAGATTTTTCTCAATCTTCACAAGATCACAGACGGTTCTTAGAGATTAAAAAGAGGGAAAATCTACATACTGATGCTTGCCGGAGAGGCCACTTCCTTTCTAGAATAAAAACTGCTCTTCAGGAAAGGGATTTTTGAGTCTCCACAAGAGATTTTCGCAATTTTTTAATTTTATTTTATTTGTCAAGAACATATTAGGTAATAAGTATAAACCTAGATTGGATACATGAAATAGATACAAATAGAGGAAACATTCGGACAGGGACGGCTGGTGCTCTTATGCACGCCCCTTACAGAACCCTTAGGAATGGGGAAAATCTAGAAACTGATGCTTGCTGGAGAGGCCACTTCCTTTCTAGATAGGCAACCTTAGAGGGAACCTTTCCTTCAAGTTTAATGCCCATCAACCCAGATACGTATGGAACATGACGTCCTGAGCCCTTGCAGGGTCATCATGCAATGCGCACAAGATCCTCTAGGGGGCTCCCTGGAAGAGCGGCGCTGCTCCCTCCCGCCCCCCCCGTCTTACAAGAGAACTGAGCATGCGCCGGCCTCTTTCCCAAGTCAAGAGAGATTCGTGCTTCCCTAGGCGTTTTCCAGCAAAGGCTTGAAAGCTTCTCCGCTCTTTCTCCAGTGCCCGGGTGAGCCTTTCAGGCAAGGGAAGAGGCTGCAGGGAAGTCTTGGACTTGGAGATCCAGATACGAGTCGGGGTTCAGTCGGTGGGGGCTTTTCTCCCGCGCTGGAGGCTCTCATGCAGACATGCAAAACCTTATTAGGGTTGGAGTGGTGGGATTGGGGTGGGGGGGGGGGTAGAGCCACTGGTCCCATGTTCCCCTGCCGCCCCTGTGCATGCACGGGCCGGGGAGGGGAGAAAGGAAACCTTTGGATCCTTCGCATTGCCCCCAGGGGGAAAAAAAATCGGGGTCTCAGAAAAGAGGGAGCCATTTACACCCCACACCCCCCATTTGGATGGGGAAACCTCTGTATGGGAGGGAGAGAACGAGAGGTGGTCTTTGCAAAGATTTGTGCCTCCAAGTCAGTCTTGACTCCTGCACAGTTTCCTGCATATTTCGTGGCTCCTTTTTCAGAAGGGGTTTCCCCTCTCTTCCCCCTTCTTAGGCCGATTGCAACTGAGTGTGCAAGGAGTTGGGTGCAAGGTGTGTAAGGACTGGAGCTCTTGTTTCCTGCTTTCCTGCCTTTCCCCAGTGTCACCAGCTGGCTGTGCCAGCAGGTAAAAAAGGAAGATGTTGAAGGGAGGGAGGTGCATCATTGTCACTATGCCCCGGATTAGGCCAGTGTTTTTGTCAAGCTTGGCCTTTCTAAACCCATTGTTTGTTTATTTAGTTATTAAGTGGATTTACAGCGCCCTCTCGTGTCAATTGCTGTTTGTGACCTGGGACATTTATGATTTGGATTGTGCAAATCGTTCTTCTTACCTATGCAGCCATAGAAATGATATTAAACTGTCTATTAAATTATATTAAATAAAATTATAGTTAGCCGTAGAGAGCCATTTGGTTCAGTGACGAAAGCACAAGGCTTGAAACCAAGAGATTAACTTTCTAGTCCAACCTTTGGCACGAAAGCCTTAAACCCATCTCATCGAGCAGCCCAATCTACTTCACAGGGCTGATGTGGGAGAAATAGTAAGACTGAGCATTGTGTATAATTGCTGCCTAATTTATAATAATAAATACAGAAGACATAAAAATAAAAATTAAATGTTAATAAAAACTAGGAATTAGAAATCAAAAATATATTTAGATGTTTTTTTCCAATATTTTGATAGGCTGACATCCTCTGCAATTTTCCCCATATGTAGAGAGATTAAACTAATTAATAAGATTCCTCCCCCCCCCTCCAGACATTGGTAGGTTCATCCAATTTTCTTTTTTAAAATTTTTCCTTCCCCCTACCCTTCCCTTCAATTTCCTCTCTTGATAAGGACGCTCAGTAGTTCAATTAATTACCCTAATAAACACCCTGAATTATTTGTTTTCCATTTCAGGTATGTAAGGTGGAAATATTTTCTGGTTCTTCAGGAATCTTAAAAATCTTGTCTGGGAAGAGAGCTGAATGGCCTTGGAAAATTTGGCCAGACCTCTTGTGAACGGAAAGACCTGTGGAGATCCATGGGTGCATTTTGGAGCTTTATTAGAGACCAGAGAGAAGATGGAGGGACAACACCCAGCAGATGCAGAAGTTAGAAAAGGCCCTCCAGCTGCTCAGCCTTGGAGCTGTGGGAAGAATGGGGCAAGTCCTGGGCAGAAGAGCCACGAAGAGGCATCCAACACTTCAGAGGTCCAATGCTGTCACTTCACAAAAGTGCAGTTTCAGGAGGGGAGCCGTCCGCGAGATGTTTGCACTCAGCTTCACTACCTTTGCTGTCAGTGGCTGCAACCAGAAAAACACACCAAGGCTCAGATGCTGGACCTGGTGCTCCTGGAACAATTGCTGGCTGTCCTTCCCCCAGAGATGGCAAGATGGGTGCGGGAGTGTGGAGCAGAGACCAGTTCCCAGGCGGTGTCCCTGGCTGAAGGCTTCTTGCTGACTCAGGAGGAGGAAAACATGCAGGAAGAGTTGCAGGTGGGAGAATGGAATCATGGCAGCTCTAAAGAGGATCTCTCTGAAGTTGTCAATTTCTTTCTGGCAGAATTTTCTGGGATTATTAATTCCTAAGGGCATCTGTTCTATTCTTCCAGAGGATGTATTTGGGGCAATTCTTTCAGCAATGGACATTGGGATCTGCTAGTTAGAAGATGTAGTATGATAATTCATTTCCATCTCTGTGCTCTTCCTTTGTTTCTCATATCACATCATGTCCAGAAATCCTTGGAAGCTGTGACTGAGTATCCTAAGAGGGGGAAAGATTCATTCAGATCTTCTCAAGAGCTGCTCTTCAGGGAGAACTTCCAGAAAGATCAAAGTCAAAACGCTACGCAAGGTAAGAAAAGTTCTTTCTATGTGAGGTGAAATTTCAACATTTAGTTGATTCTTTCGCTCCACTTTGTTTAAGTTTCTCTCTTTAACAAATCTGCTTCCACTATTTTTCTCTTTCTCATAGAGAGTAGAAAGCTATCCTTGCCGTTTTTAGAATCACCTCTTTGTGCTGGAGCTGAAGGATTAGCTGAACCGCTACTTCAGGTAAGGAGAAATAAGATCGGAAAAGGTCCATAAATCTTGGATGGGTTTTATTTTGTTCTAGAGTTCAATGCATAAAATTGCTATTTCTAAGCAATATAAATTTGATATCAGATCCTTGAACATTCTCCCTTCCTGAGGGGATCCTTTATGTGTCGCTTTCTCCACCTTGCCTGCTTCACTATCAGATTTAATTGCCCAGACTGTTGTCAGCATCGGGGCTCCTCCTCCTGTCCCCCAGGGTTATTCTCACACACCATTACAAAAAATATATCCTTTTCTGCCTTTTGAAAAGCATCTTTGGGACAACCGTGACCTGGTGATTGACAATCTTAGACATATTGAGTCCTACTACAAGCTTTTTCAACTCTCACTTAAGCCCAATCAACACTAAAAAATTTTAAATTGCCCAATCTAAATGATCTGCTAGAACTTCAAATTTTTAAACTAGACAATTCTGAACTATGGAACTTTCAATCCTTAAATTAGACATTCTCCTAATTGCTAGAACCTTAAACTTTTAGCTAAACTTTCCGCCCCTAATTTGAAACTTAAATGATCTGTTAGAATATATATATTCCAAATTGGACATTTTTCCCTTTAAAAATCTGTAGTAACTACTGTGGTAACTACACATCCACTTTTAATTTTTTTAAATCCACTCATGGAAGAAGAAACTGATACTATTGTGATCTGCAGAACATGTTCCATGTATACACATGCCCATAGAATACCCAAACTGTATATGTACCCAGTAGTGGGTTCTACTTACCTTTGTTACCGGTTCGGAACTCTGAGCGCTCGTGCACAGAGCATCTGTGATGACATCTGGGTGGGTGGGCGGAGCCTCCCACCACTACCACTATTGGTTCGCCCGAACCGGTAGAAACCCACCACTGTATGTATCAAATGTAAACTAATCAAGTTACTAGAAGAAAAAGTAAAGGGTCTAGAGGAAACTCTAAACCACTCTGAAACTCAACCCACAAAATGAGAAACCCGAAACCTTGCAAAAAGAATATGCTCAAAGTGAACATAATAATGATCAAACAACTTCTAAAATAATTGACCCCGTAGAGGAAGAAGACGACAGATGGAAACATGTCACTCATAAAAAAAACCACAAACCTAGTACAAAACAGCTGTCTAAACTAACCCATTCTGATGCAGCCCCACTGGTACTAAGCAATCGATGTCATGGACTCTCACTAGAAGAAAACATGCAGACACGTAGAAAAGAAGCACCATCAAATGTCCCTAAAAAAGTAACACCATCAAATGCTTCTGTGACAGATAGAAAAACACCCCAAACCTCCCAAGGAAAAAAAAAAGGCGAGTGCTGGTGATAGGAGATTCAATTCTCAAGGGAACAGAACTTGCCGTCTGTAGACCAGACAGTCTATCCAGAGAGGTATGTTGTCTCCCTGGAGCTAAAATCAAAGATGTGGCTGAGAAGCTAACCAAAATAATAAAACCCACAGACTACTACCCCTTTCTATTACCATACGTAGGGACGAAGGACACAAAAAAGGACTTGAAAACAATATTGAATGATTATGAGCAGCTAGGCAAGAAAGTCAGGGACTTAGGTGCACAAGTATTTTTTTCATCTGTACTGCCAATGAAAGGACAACATCTGGTAAGAGAATAAAGGATTATAGAAATGAACCACTGGCTAAAGGGTTGGTGTCGCCAAAAAACCTTTGGATTCCTGGACCATGGTCTGTACTATCTCCATGATGTCTGGTAAGGGATGGGTTGCACCTCACAAAGATTGGGAAGGATATTTTCGGAAAACGAATGGCTCAACTTATCAGGAGAGCTTTAAACTAAAATTGAGGGGGGAGAGTGACCAATCTTTAGGATTTCCAGGACCTAATTCCAAGCAGAAACCCCTAGAAAGCAAGTCAAATAATGAAGTAAAGAGGGATGGGAAGGAAGACTGACTCAAACACCAAATAGGATACATAGGAAGCAGACCCAGCATCAGAGAATAAAAATCTCAAGTGCCTATATACAAATGCACAAAGTCTGGGGAGCAAACGGTAAACTCGAACTACTAATACATGAAGGCAGATATGATGTAGTTGGAATACTGAGGTACTAATACCACTCTATAAAGCCTTAGTAAGACCACACCTAAAGTACTGCATCCAGTTTTGGTCACCACACTATAGAAAAGATGTTGAGACTCTAGAAAGAGTGCAGAGAAGAAGCAACCATAATGATTAGGGGACTGGAGAGTAAAACATACGAAGAATGGTTGCAGGAACTGGGCATGGCTAGTCTAGTGAAGAGAAGGACCAGAGAAGACATGATAGCCGTCTTCCAATATTTGAGGGGCTGCCAGTAGAGAGGAAGGGATCCAGCTATTTTCTAAAGTACCTGTAGGCCAGACAAGGAATAATGGATGGAAACTGAACAAGGAGAGATTTAACCTGGAAATAAGGAGAAATTTTCTGACAGTGAGAATAATCAACCCATGGAACAGCTTGCCTTCGGAAGTTGTGGGAGCTTCATCACTTGAGATTTTCGAGAAGAGATTGGAATGCCATTTGTCAGAAATGGTGTAGGGTCTCCTGCTTGGGTGGGGGTGTGGGGTTGGACTAGATGACTTACAAGGTCCCTTCCAACTCTGTTAATCTGTAAAACTCCTTCATGAAGGTGTGGAGTTGGGGTATGTTGGTTCCACAGTGGATAAAATGAGCCATTGGAAAAAATGTCAGGTGGGTTTTGCCAGTATTTTGCTCTGCCCATTTTAGGAAGAATGGGAGTCGCTGATAAGTAGTGGATTGAAGATCCAACTATCCATTGACCAAGAATATTTTAGTTGGTTACACCATAAGACATTCCAAATACTTTCATCTTGTTCAAACATGATTTAGTTGTGCCATCAGCTAAAAGTGTTGAGATCTCATTCTGAATTCTGCAGAGGATGCCCATTTTGTTCACGTGATCTCGGTCCTAGAATTGGTGGAAGAAAATTATCCCATTTTTGGGATTATCTGTTAATAGGGAAATGTCAGCACTTCAACCTGCATTTACTCTAGTGCTGACATAAGAAGGAGAAGCAAAGGCGTCTGGAAAGGGACGGCTGACTTTTCACATACTTATTTTCCCTGGAGATAATGTTTCCGAGGAGATGAGATGGGAGGGGGGAATTCCTTTGAGTTGGAGTAGATTAGGGGTAGAATGACTTGGAAAATGGCCAATGAGTGCAGGGGAGTGGGGAACGGAAAGGGAGGGTTTTGGGGCTGGATGTCAGTGTTGGCTTCGTTTGGACTCAGGTTACGATGTCATGCTCAATAAAAAGGAGTTTTTTCGTCAAAGATTTTGTTTGAAATGCATTTTATTCGAGACGACCACAAAACTTGACAAGAAACTTGTTTTCTTGTTCAGGGTGTTGTGTCTTTTGAGGAAGTGGCTGTGTATTTCTCAGAGGAGGAGTGGTCCCAACTGGATGCTGACCAAAAGGAGCTCTACAGAGAAGTCATGCTGGAGAATTCCAGGAATCACCTTTCTCTGGGTAAGAATTCCTTTCTGTGCTCAAGAATGTAGAGAAGGGGCTTAAATGTTATTTCTTGCGGGGGGGGATCATTTATTTACAGTGCATTCAGAAAGTATTCAGACCCCCTTCAGTTTTTCAATTTTGTTACTCTGCAGCATGATCCTATAGTAGTTGAAATGAGTATTTTGTATTTTATGAGCAGAAAGCATTTTATTTTAAAAAGAACAATTTCTTTTATGTAATAAGGGAGGTTATGCAGATTTCCAATTTTTCTTTCAATAAATTTTCTTCTTCCTTAAAGTCAGTTTGATCAAGTCGTTTAAGATACCAGGCTAGAAACTGGGTGACTGTGAGTACTACTTCTGCCTTAGGCATGAATACTGGCTGGGTAACTTTAGGCCAAAACGCTCTCAGCTCAACCCATTTCACAGGGTTGTTATAGGGAGAACAGCAGGAAGAAGGAATATCAGGTTTTTCCACTGCCTTTATTATTTACAAAAATTAAAGGAAGGAGATGTGGGGATGTGAAGACTCTAGAAAGAGTGTAGAGAAGAGCAACAAAGATGATCAGGGGACTGGAGGCTAAAACATATGAAGAACTGTTGCAGGAACTGGGTATGTCTAGTTTAATGAAAAGAAGGACTTGGGGAGACATGATAGCAGTGTCCCAATATCTCAGGGGCTGCCACAAAGAAGAGGGAATCAAGCTATTCTCCAAAGCACCTGATGATAGAACAAGAAGCAATGGGTGGAAATTAATCAACGAGAGAAGCAACTTAGAACTAAGGAGAAATTTCCTGACAATTAGAAAAATTAATCAATGGAACAACTTGCCTCCAAAAGTTGTAAACGCTCCAACACTGGAAGTTTTTAAGAAGATGTTGGATAACCATTTGTCTGAAGTGGTGTAGGGTTTCCTGCCTAAGCAGGGGGTTGGACTAGAAGACCTCCAAGGTCCCTTCCAACTCTATTATTGTATTCTAGATATAGAGTGCATTCAGAAGGTATTCAAACTCCATTTTGTCAATTTTGTTATGCTGTAGCCTGATTCTACAGTTGTTGAAATTCATTTTTTTCTCATTAATCTACACTGGGTAACCAATAATGACAAAGTGAAAACAAAATTTTAGAAATGTCTGTAAATGTACTAGATTGTAGCCTGGTGTCAGAAACCTTTTGAACAAACTGACTTTATGGAAGAAGAAAATTTATTGAAAGAAAAATTGGCAAACTGCATAGCCTGGCTTTTTATATAAAGGAAATTGGTTTAAAAAAAAAAAGACTTCTGCTCATGAAATACAAAATACTCATTTCATAGAAGATATTAGGAAGACTCTGAGGAAGAGGCTGGATGTACTGAGCAAGCTTCTGGCTACCAGGATTCGGTATTCCCTCCTGAACCTGGTTACTGGATTCCTGGTGGCTCTGAGCTGTTATAACCAAGACCAGGTGAGCCCTGAGAAGGTTCTTCCCTTCTTAGAGATATGCCCACTTCTGTACCGAGTTTGGCATTAGTCTTAAATTGAGGGTGGGGAGGTATTGCCATCCAGAAATTCCCCTTGACTTTCAAAGATTCTGCTCTGCAGACAAGTGGAGATGAGTCTTTTATTGAAGTTTATTGAAGAGCCTTGGTAGTACAGTGGTCTAAAGCACCCTGTTATTAAAACCAGCTGCCTGCAATTATTGCAGGTTCGAATCTCGCCAGGCTCAAGGTTGACTCAGCCTTCCATCCTTTCTAAGGTAGGTAAATTGAGGACCCAGTTTGTGCGGGCAATAAGCTGACTTTGTATAAAATATACAAAAGGATGAAGGCTATTGCTTAGCGCATTGTAAGCCGCCCTGAGTCTCCGGAGAAGGGCGGCATATAAATCAAATTAAAAAAAAAAAAAAGTTTGGAGGTGCTGGGTATGTTGCTGCCCCATTATGACACAGTTTCCAATGCACTTCGGGAGTTTGTGGCACCATGGAATTATCCAGTGGTGGGATTTAACAACCGGTTCTCTGCCCTAATGACTGGCTGGGTGGGTGTGGCCGAGTGGGCATGTGACTGAGTGGGCATGACCAAAGTGAAGATGGTCGGGGTGGCAGCGTGTGGCCAGCTCGACATCACTCATGTCAGGGGGCGCCTATGGTGGTCCAGGCAGGTCTGGGGGGATCCATTTTATTTATTATTTATTTATTAATTTTATTTCTATACCGCCCTTCTCCCGAAGGACTCAGGGCGGTGTACAGCCTGATTAAAAGCACAAAGACAAACAAAATTTAAAAATAATTAAAATTATTAAATAATTGGCTCAATTATAAAACCCCCAAATTTAAAATCCCATATTTAAAACCAATTAAAATCTTTACATTGATAGCCCGGCCTGGCGGAACAACAAGGGTTTGAGGGTACAGCGAAATACACCGAGATCGGAGATCTTACACATTTCTGGGGGCAGTTCATTCCAAAGGGCAGGGGCTCCCACAGAGAAGGCCCTCCCCCTGGGTGTCGCCAGCCGACATAATTTGGCCAATGGCACCCTGAGGAGACCCTCTCTGTGGGAGCGGACTGGCCGGTGGGAGGCTCCTGGTGGCAGAAGTCGGTCTCGAAGGTACATTGTCTCCAGCAGAGGAAGGCAAGACCAGGGTGACAGCCAAATGTTTATTCTCCAGAGGAGCCTCGCCGTCCCTCTCAGGCCATGCAAAGGACCCCTGGACAGCCCAGTCTGGCCATCAAGCTCCCTGGGCACTGGGACCCCACAGCTCAGCCCTGCTTCACTGAGGCGCTGCCCGACTGTGCTTACCTCAAGGCTGCTGCTGCTGTGCTCACTCTCCTTGGGCATGTTGCTCATGGTGTATGCAGGAGGGCAAAGTGTGTCGGTCAGAGGGAGACCCACTCCCTTTCCATGCAAGGAAACCTGGCTTTGTAACAAAAGCCGCCTCAGCAATAGGATGGGAGACCACCAGGAGAGGTCAGGAGAAGGGGACAAGGGGATGGCGAAAGGGCAGCAGGGCTGCTGGTGTCCAAGTGCTTCCCTCAGAATCTGACTCCCTCATTATAATCTTCCTTCCTTTCCCCCTCCCTCCCGCCCTCCTTTGTTCCCTTTTCTTCTTTTTGCTTCCCTCTTCCCATTTCGAACCCTTCCCCCATTGTTGCTTCAGCATGGTTTTTAACTCACATCTCCCAGACTCATGTATGTTTGTGTGCATGTGTGTGCCCTTTGCCGCCCCGGCACTGTGACATTGGAGAGGAAAAGATGGTAGAGTCTGGGCTGGGAGCTGGGGGGGGGGGGTGTTGAGAAAAACAAACATGGCAAAAAAAGAGCTTTCATTAGCTTGCAGCCTACAATGAGCTTGCAGCCTACAATGAGCTTGCAGGCTGCAATGAGTGAGACCCCTCCCTCTGCCCCCCACGTGCGCTCCCTCTCTCTCTCTCTCTCTCTCTCTCTCTCTCTCTCTCTCTCTCTCTCTCTCTCTCTCTCTCTCTCTCAAACAAACTTCTGTGATGGTAGGCTGAAAAGTGCAAACTAACAAAATCTCTTTTTTTGCAATGTTTGTTTTTCTCAGCCCGCAGCAGCCTTTCCCGATGTTTTCCTCTCCATTGTCACAACATTGAGCTGCAAGGGGGGAGACCTTACGCAGGCACGCACGCACGCGTGCACACACACACACACACACACACACACACACGTTGCACGGGTTGGAGAGGTGATCTGAGAGTCACGCAGAGGTCCGTCAGGCACAGAGGCAACAACACGTACCTACGTACCTTTCGCCGTGCCCTTAAGACTCTACTGTTTCAACAGGCTGGGCTGGCTTAGAAAATGATTTTTAATCAGGTGTTTGTAGTTTTTAATATAGGGCCAAATTTCTAATATATTTTAAACTGTTTTTAAATTTTATAGGTATATGTGGTTTTAATATGGCTGTACACCGCCCTGAGTCCTTCGGGAGAAGGGCGGTATAAAAATGTAATTAATAATAACAACAACAACAACAACAACAACAGGGGAAGGGGATCAAAATGGGAAGCCTCTGCCCATTTTTTTAAAAAACAAAACAAAACTGTGGAACTTCCCTTTTAGTCATCCTCCCCTCCATGCCTGATGCCAAAAGGGCAGTTCTGTTCCTCCCCTTCGCAATGCCAGAAGCCGCATGCCACCGCCGTTCACCTTCCACGTCCCCCCAGAGTCCATGAGATCTCCTAGTGCTGGCAGGCAGAAGTCCCCTGGATCCCATGCCCTCTTCTTCCTATCTCTTCCTTCCTCCATGCACAGATAGGGATGTGGTTTTCCCAGACGGGGGTGGGGCGGTCCCAGGGAAAGAGCAGCAAGCGGGGCATGGAGGCACCGGTGCCACCTGCGGCCGGTCTTAGATCCAGGTTGCCGCCTTGGCCCCGCCCCCTGGTGTACACACAGGAGGCTCCAAGCGCGTGGCATCCTCGGTGAAGGGCAGCACTTAGCAAGCAGTCCCCAGGGACGCCAGGCCCTGTGCACTCGCAACCTCCTGTGTGCACATCCAGGGGTCCGGGCCAAGGCGGTGCTGCAGATCTAAGGCTGGACCTGGGCAAGAAACCAGAGAGCAGCCAGAGAGAAGCTGGGCCCTGGCTGTGACTGGTGAGAGGCCAAGGCAAGATAAGGAGGGGCTGGGCGGGGTGGGATGGAGCCAGCCAGTTGTATGATCAGCCGGTTCGCCAAACTGCACAGAAAATTAACAACTGGTACGCCCGAACTGGTCCGAACCAGCTGAATCCCACCTCTGGAATTATCCCAGGTCAATGATTAGTTCAGGGTTGTGATCCAATCCTATTATATGAGGATCATTAGGGAGACACTTGGTCATTGCTATAATCTTAGTTTGGACTCTTCATGTTTGTCAACAAAACAGCTGAAATATTTTAATGATTCTTTGGCTAAATTTCGGAAGAAAAGTTTGCTTGTTCCTCTATTCTTGCTACAGCTTTCTCTCTTTTTTTTCAAGGCTTTAATGGGCAACAGAAAAAGAATTACAAGGAGGAAAGCCAAGCGATCTATTCGAAAGGGGGGAAAAGGAAATTTGTAGATCAGATGCAACCGAAGAGTGATGAAACAAAGCAATCACAAAGTGGAATTAATAAAAGTCTTCCTCGGGTCAGTTGGCTTCCTAACCATACAGTGATCGATAAGGCAGAAAGACCATATAAATCCATGGAATGTGGAAAGACATTTAATAAATCCAGTCATCTCTTTTTTCATAAAAAGACACATTCAGAAGAGAAACGATTTACCTGCATGGAGTGTGGAAAGAGCTTCTGTGATAATTACTCTCTTATAATTCATCGAAGGAATCACACAGGAGAAAGACCTTATAAATGCATGGAGTGTGGAAAGAGCTTTACTTGTAGCAGTCATCTTAATGGCCATAAGATGGTCCACACAGGAGAGAAGCCATATCAATGCATGGAGTGTGGAAAGAGTTTTAGATGTAGGAGTACTCTTAATCGCCACAAGAGGATCCACACAGGAGAAAGACCTTATAAATGCATGGAATGCGGAAAGACCTTTCCTTACAGCAGTCATCTTAATGCCCACAAGAGCAACCACACAGGAGAGAAGCCATATAAATGTGTGGAGTGTGGAAAGGGCTTTGTATGGAATTCTTCTCTTGCCTCCCATAAAAGGACCCATACAGGAGAGAAACCGTATCAATGCATGGAGTGTGGAAAGAGTTTTACTCGTAGTAATGGTCTTAATTTCCATAAGAGGAGCCACACAGAAGAGAAGTCATATAAATGTTTGCAATGTGGCGAGGGCTTTAGAAAGAGTTGTGATCTCATTTCCCATAAAAGGATCCATACGGGAGGAAAAACCATATGAATGCATGGAGTGAGGAAAGAGCTCTTGCAAGGAGTAGCACTTTTACTTGCCATAGAAGCATCCACACATGGGAGAAACCATATTAATAAAGGAAGTGTGGGAAAACCTTCAATAGAAATCCAGATAGTCCTTGGCGTATGACTGCAATTGAGCCCAAAATTTATGTTGCCAAGTGAGACAGATATTAAAAATGTGTTTTGTGATTCTACCTTTTCCATCCTTGCTTGTCTGAGAAAGGCTCAAGTGAGAGGTCTGATTTCTGCATCCAGATTGTTGGCTGTTGTTTGCAAAGTCTTGCAGTTTGTGAGAGCTAAATTCTGTTCCTTTAGCAGCTTAGATTTGTTTTCATACCCAGTACTAACTTAATGAGCCTCTTGAGTCCGAACCGATCCCACTACTGCCACCAATTTGTCATGGGTTCTTTTTAAACCAGGGGTGCGCGACACCCAGGCCGTGGCCTGTTTGGAAGTGGGTTGCAGAAGTAATGGGTAAGCATGCACATGCCTAGCTCCACTGAAAGCTCTATTTGGTGTGAGAGGCGGATGTGTGCGTCGGCTGCTTCCACAAATGGATTCATTTCAAATCATACTGGATTCTAGACAGTTTAAGTTTTCTGTCTCCCCATAAGGATTGTGGGGATATTTTATTTTGAAAAAAATATCCGAGGTACAAAAGAGAAACATACAATGTGCAAGTTCTTTCTCTGTTTGTTTTCTTTCGTTTCTTTTCTTTCTTTCTTTTTTTTAATTTGATTTATACGCCGCCCTTCTCCGGAGACTCAGGGCGGCTTACAATGCGTTAAGCAATAGCCTTCATACTTTTGTATATTTATACAAAGTCAGCTTATTGGCCCCACAAACTGGGTCCTCATTTTACCTACCTTAGAAAGGATGGAAGGCTGAGTCAACCTTGAGCCTGGTGAGATTCGAACTTATAGTAATTGCAGACAGCTGGTGTTAATCACAATGCTTTTAGTCTGCTGAGCCACCAGGCCCTTGTTTTCAGTATATTTATAGTGGTCCCCATCCCTTCCGGCTTAGTGGCCCGGAGGGGTGGAGGAAGAGGGGATGGCTTTGTGTGAGTGGCAGGTGCGCACTGTCAGCATTCTAGTGCTGCCATAAAGAGAAGAAGAAGAGGCTTGACTTTTCACCTACTTATTTTCTCTGTAGATAATATCCCCTAGGAGATGGGATGGGAGGGGGGACATTCCTATGAGTTGAAGTCAGGAGATGGGGAGACTGACTTGGAAGATGGCCAATGAGACGCTGAGAATTGGGGAAAGGAAAGGGAAGGGTTTGGGGTCAGAGGGTTAGTGTTGGCTACAACGGAGTCAGGAACAGATTGTTGTACTCAATAAATGGAAGATTCAGCAAAGATTATTTGTTTGGAAATGCAATTTATTTGAGATGACATCGAAACCTGACACGCACAAGTGTGTGCAGCTCCATTTGCGTTAAGTGGCGGGTGCATAAATTGGGCAACATATGCACGCACTCGTCCACCTCTCATGCAAATGGAGTTATATGATACTGTTATTATGCTATATACTGATGTCCATCTATATTCTTGGTTCCCAAGCCCTGGGCCTCAGTCCGTTCAGAACTGGGCCGCACAGGTAGTGGATGAGCATGAGTGTGCAACTCCACTTGCATGAGCTTCAGACAAGTTCATGTGAGTGTGAAGTTCCATTCGCATGCCTGCCACTCATGCAGATGGAACTGTGCGTGTTTGTGTATACCTGTCACTCAAACATAACCACCCCTTCTCTCCCCCCAGCCGGGCCACCAAGCTGGAAATGTTGGGGATTGCTGATCTCTGATATACTATTTCTACAGCAAATATATTGTTAACTATTGCTATTGTATTGGTTGCATGGCGTTCCGAAACATATAATCTCAGATCAGGGAATGCAATCGACATCAAAGTTTTGGTGTGAATTCCCGAGCTTGTTAGAGTCCTCCTATGGCATGGGTGTAAAACTTTTATATTTTTTATTTTTCACAAACATATCAAATCAGTGCGTGAACAGTGTGGCACCTGGGTGTCATACATTCTAATACAAATAAAACTAGTAAAATCATAGTTATTACATTCAATCAACTTACAGTATATATTTCTAATAATGATACACAATCATATTAAATTGCAATCTGTCATTATTCAATTATTCCATGCTTTCTCTTATTACTTTTATTTTATTATATAAAGGTGTATACACTAATATTCCCTTCTCTTATTTCTATCACTTATTCTAACTTTTAATCATGTCACCCTTTACTAAAAAACGTTTTCTTTTATCCTACCTAACTTCTAATCATGTCATCTACCTAAAAAAAAGAGAGAAAAGGAAAAGCAAATCAGAATAACAAAAGAGAGAAATCACCTATCCATCGTCTCTTGCCTGCTTCAATACATTAATTGGTATGTTTTTTTTTTAATTTGCCTCCCAAATTCCTCTCTTGGATCTTTAGCTGTCTGCATCTGTATCTTGACTATTCAGCCTAGGTATTTCTCCCATCTCTACCCTCTTCCACTGCCTAGTTTCCAAAATTTCTGCCCAAGCCCCTATCTTTTTTTTTTTTTTTTAATTTGATTTATATGCCGCCCTTCTCCGAAGACTCAGGGCGGCTTACAATGTGCTCAGCAATAGCCTTCATCCTTTTGTATATTTATACAAAGTCAGCTTATTGCCCCCACAAACTGGGTCCTCATTTCACCTACCTTAGAAAGGATGGAAGGCTGAGTCAACCTTGAGCCTTGGCGAGATTCGAACCCTGCAGTAATTGCAGGCAGCTGGTCTTAATAAGCTTAATAACAGGGTGCCTTAAACCCCTGTACTACCAAGGCTCTCCCTCTCCCTATCTCCCTTTCAAACATATCTTCCAACTCTCTTAATATATTTTCCCCCTGGTTTAATTCATCAATCACTGTTATTTTCATTGTTGTCTCCTCTTTGTCTTCTTCTTCCTTCATTTCTTCAATTGATTCCCAGACTTTCCTGGGCGTCTTGGTTTTTACTCATCATCCCTCGTATGGTATTTTCCATTTTTTCCATAATCTCCTTAAATCCTTTCTCCATGATGTCTTTTGTGTTTTGAAAAGGTAACACCATCTCCTTCAAAATTCCACTCATTTCTTCCTTATAAAGCATCTTATTTTATTTTTAAAAATTCAACTTTTGTCCAGCAGTCTAAAGAACTATTTATTCAGTCCTTAAGTTGCCCTTCAAGGAGTGCACTAGCCCCAGTTCTTTATATCCCATAGGTCAGTGGTTCTCAACCTGTGGGTCGGGACCCCTTTGGGGGTCGAATGACTCTTTCACAGGGGTCGCCTAAGACCATCGGAAAACACATATTTTCAATAGTTTTAGGAATAATTTTATGGTTGGGGGTCACCACAACATGAGGAACTGTATTAAAGGGTCACGGCATTAGGAAGGTTGAGAACCACTGCCATAGGTAAACAGTCAGTTCCATTTAGATAATCCCAGAGATTATCAAAGGCCTCTTTGTATCTATTTACAGGTTCAGTCTTCTAGCATAACATTCAGGGGTCCCTTTAATTAAATAGCTTCCTTATTTTCATATTTGGGTCTCCAGTAGTCATAGGGTAGTTAAAAATAATCCAATAGATATTTTCACAGTCCTTCATGTAGGTATTCCCAGACTTGTAATTTTTCCTTTTGTCAGCAGGTGGTACTCTCATCTTCAACTTCAGTATTGCCACTAATCAAGCATCATTTTTGTTGTAAAACAATTATAAAAGCAGAATACGTTTTGTAAGTAAATGATTCCAGCATTTTAAAATGCCTTCCCAGTACCATATCTTCCCAGTTTAGAGTCCAATTTTTTGTATATTTCAAAATTTATTATTTTTCTCTCCTGCGCCTTTCACTTCTGGTCTAGTAGTTTCTCAGAATGCTTAGACACCATTTTAACAAATAATTCTGAGCAAATAGTCCTAAATTGTTCCTTGGGGTTAAATTTAAAGCAAAAGGAAATCCTCTACCCCGGTCCAGTCACTCTTCACTTACTTTGCTCCAGCACCAGTCTTAGATGTTCCTCAGTTGTCCCAGCTTTGTGGCAGCCATCTTTAGGCTGGCTCTTCTTGCTGTGGCTGAGAGGGAAAAAGAACCCCGGGTCAGTCAGGAGAGCTGTGACTCTCCTCAATCTCACAGGGTGCCCCTCTTTGCTTCACCACCCCTACAGGGCAGCTTTGGCTCCTCTCAGAGCCCACAAACAGGGAGAAGTCAGCACAGGGAAGACGGAGACTTGTTCCCTGTGTCTGATATCGCCGCAACGTCAACCGGAAGTAAGCCAGCACGGGTATAAAACTTGATCGCGTCATGTGACATACTGTGATGTATTGCAATGTTTTTTGCCTTTGAGGAGCTGGGGTGCGTGTGGCCTGTGTCTGACGCATCTGGCCTGTGGGCCACCAGTTTTATAGGCCTGTCCTAGGGTCTTGGCTCCACCCATCCTCATACAAATGGAGTCTATGAATGTCTGAATGCAGTCCTGGATGACTCCCTTCGATGTCACATGAATCACCAGCAAATCAATTGGGTTGAACTTTTACCTTTCACTGAGGTAGCATACAATAACTGTACACAGCAGCATCAATTCACCTCCTTTCAAGTGGCCACTGGTGCAGAGTACATGCCTATGCCAAAACTCCCAGAAGGGGCCCCTTTGGCAGCCTCGTTGGCTGAGTTGATAAATACTTTAAAAGACAGTACCCCAAGGTCATCAGCTGGGAACGTCCAAGGTAGTCAGATTGTTTCCAAATCAAAACAAATACGAAAAATTGATGAACAATTGACAGTGGAGGGCCAGGCTACAAAAGGAAAGTTTACTTATGCTGTTTTCAGGCAAAAATGTTAAAACTGGCTTTTCTACTTCTGTACCCCAATGGAATTTTCAGTGAAGTTCTACTCTTGGTAAAATAATGTTCCAGGAGTTTCTTTTGATGCCTAAATCAATGGGATGGTTGACACAATTTTGACTTATTGATCAGAAAGTGTTGTTGTTATAGAAATAGCTAGTTATATATTAATGTGTAAAAGCAAAAAGTTGAGGTTGCAGTGTTTTTACTTGTACTGTGCTAAGAAGAGTCGGAAGTCAATACCCTTTTTTGCTTCACATCCCCTTTTCCTCACTCCTTTTCCTTCCGTTAATTTCCTATTTTTATTTTTTTCTTTGTATTA